CATTTAGTGTTATGATAAAGCTAATAACATAGTATTGTACTATGTAGATTAGATCTTAAATCAGTTGTTTAAAATATATTATCGAATGACATCCTTGATGTGTTAGATATATTTTATATCAAATTATTTATGTTTTGAAGGAATCGTGTGCTGTTTGTACTGGGTAAAATACTTATTTAAAAAAAATATTATATAGACTACATAGTCTATGTCATATTATAATATAAGTTATATGTAATGTATAGGAATACTCCTTGCTAAAGATTGCTAAGTTCAGGTAAGGAATGGCTCAGAATTTTCAATTCATTGTGAATAATACATGAGATTTCATAAGTAAAAAGTAATTTTAATACTATAAAATGTTTTAATTCCAATAGAAACTCCTATAGATTTAGTTACAAATTGTAATTCAATTCCAATATCAATATCAGTATATTTAACCAAATTAATATCATAATCAATTCGATATCATAACTCGAGTAGCGTGAAAATTTCCGATACAATACACTTGTCGGATATTTGGTAGATATGCAATCGAGTGGCAGTAATGCGTGTGCTGGGGCGAAGTGGCCGATAAGTCCAATGACAACAGGATTGGTGACCTCCAAATCAGATAATAAACACATTCAGTAAATTCATAAAAATGTTTACATACTGTTTCGACATAAAAATATAGTTCACTTACGGTTTATGAATGAGAATAACAGGTACATAAAATGTGTAAGATAAAATTATTTATTACTTTTTAATAGTCTTTTTATTAATTTAAATCAAATACTGCTGATATCAATATTTTAGTAAACGGTAGTAATATTGTCGTATTCTCAAATTTGTTACGTATTTACGTTTTATTCTTGAGTGAGTAATAAATGTAAATTTTTCGTTGCTCGTGCTTTCTCTAAAAATTCTGCATTATTTTTTTTTTATTTTGCCAAAAATATTACAGAGTACGTATTTTATAATGACTGTAAAATTTAATTGTATATTGACTGCACGAGGTCATTGATTGATTATGATTCAGTTGACAAGGTAATGTATGTATACGAATGTGAAATAAATACCTAATATTGATAAGAGAATCTGAATAATTAAATAGTTTTAACTCCTTTTATTTACACAGTAATTTTACTGCCCTTTATTTTTAAGTATAATTTTTAGCGATGTGAGAAAGTTTTATGAAAACGATTTTATACAAAGTGTTATACAAAAACATATATTAGACAATAAACTCTGATGATATCGAATAAAAAAGTAATAGAAATGTAATTGTTAACAAAAAAATGTTATGTATTTTAATGAGTCTTATAGAAATTGGTAAATTTAATAATCATTTGTATACTTATTCCATGATTGTAAGTGTTTATGATAATGATTGTAAATATAATACAAAGTTATAATATTTCTTTAATGGATTACCTAATCCAGGATGAGAATTATGTTGTATCAATAAAATCAACAGCGTAGCGTTTTATGGCTAGAACTAATTGAGATAAACAAGGAGTTATTTTACACAGAAAGCCGTAAATATTATTAATATTACTTGCAGTAAAACCGACGTGACTAGTCATATAAAATCTGCATACAAATTAACTGCTTTATTTAACATGCAGTTCCAAGACACATAACACTCGAAAATGTGAAGAATTCCATGTCCATTAACATAATTAAGTTCGTTTGGTATATGTGCATGTTACTTTAGGATATTACTTGTTATGATGTGTTATGAATTTATATCAAATAATATTTGATATTTATTTGTGTACAAACACATATTTTAAGATATAATGTTTAGTCAAAAGATTCGTTCGTATGTTACATAATTTTTAATTTTTCTATATGAAATAAATATATCTTGATTTTATACGCTTCAATTCTATTGAATGTATTCTGTGAAATAGCGGCTCGAAATATTTTATTATTTTGTAATAGATGTATTGATAAACAAATGTTATATATATAATCTATACATATAAATAAAATTGGAGTGTCTGTTTGTAATATTGAAACAACAGTTTCTTACTACACGCATATGAATATAAATACGGTACATACACCAAAATGACATATTTTACAATTTTGGTTGTCTATATGTTCAGGCTAATCTCTGAAATGGCTGGACCGATTTTAACGGGACTTTTTTTGGCAGATAGCTGATGTAATAAGTAGTAACTTAAGCTACTTTTATTTTAGAAAAATAAAGTTAAACTCCACGCGGACGAAGTCGCAGGTACAGCTAGTGATATATATACCTATGTAATACAAGATGTATTTTTTTTTATCCTAATTTTATGTTTAAATTAACGGCACACTTAGAAAATTTAAGTATATATTGCATATGCATAAGCATATATTGTACATTAAGAAAAACTAAATAATGAATAAACACAAAAATGTAATTACATTTTAAATAAACAGCGTAATGTTTATTATTAGTAAAATTTTATACGTGGTGTTGTTTACAAAAAGTTCACGTGAAACGTAACACGGCTGAATAGTGACCGCGCCGCGGTAGCCTATGCTTTCCCACCTGAATATGATACCATAATAGAACCAGTTGCAAAAGGTCTTTAAGCAAATACATAATAAAAAGGTGAAATAATGTTTTAAATGCTACAATATAAGATTTAATATTGACTATACCTATCACCGAGCCCTCAGTCTGATGGATTAACTGAGCACGGCTGACCCATTATAACGATCGATTGTTTCCTTATTGTACTCGAAGTTACTGGTTCCAGCAATAATTGTAAAATTCAATCTGGTTATGAAATTTCTTAGATGAAAGATCTTGTAGGTGATTGAATTAGCTTTGATGTAGGTAAAAATGTGTTATAGGCAATGAAATCGAAAATCGAAAAATTATCCATTACTTATTCTTATTTTTTAATGGAATAATGCACCAGTTTACGCTGGCTAAGTATTAGTGTAGAATGATAAAATGAGTGTGAAGTCAGGTCAACTGATAGCCGATAGTTTTCAGGAGGTCGATCTGATACGTTTCTTACGATGGGCCCACTAATTGCTATTACTGAAAACAGTCTCTCTCATCTATGTTTCACCTATGTGAATAATATTAATGTTGTAAGGCTATTTAGAATTGAAATTCAAAGGACATCGATTAAGGTTAATGAGAAAATATTCAGCAGCTAAGTTCGTGAAGATCACGGGGTTACTGTAGATAGTATGTTGATCAATATCTGCGTAATGAGGTGTCGGTATACAACTGGCGCCATTAAAATGCCGGTGAAAGTGCAGAATAAGGAAACTAATTTAAACTATTCAACATATAGCTGATGTGTGATAGAGTTTCACTGATATAGACCACACACTAAACAAAGATATATGCGGTAATTTTCTGTATGCCTTTACATTAGCAAGGCATTTATCATACGTATTTTCCGTACATTGGAATGCAAACAGAATCATAAAAGTTATATTGATGAATCCGCGGCGTATGTAATTCAACATTCCGGTATTTATTTTCATGTTAGAATTATTTCAATAGGTTCCAAATAGAGTTGTTTCTGTATTCAATTGTAATCTTTTTATAAGTAAAAAGTTCAACCTGAATAGTTTTAATTCAAAGTAATTCATTTTACACTCCGCAAAAGTTGAAATTTGCATAAATGTAGTAAGGTTTTGGTGTAATAAAATTTAGAAATTCTTTGTCGTATGTTATTTACACGGCGTCAGGTCTTGTAGTATGAGTTAAGGAAATTTGTGACTAACATTGGCATAAATCAGTATTTTACAGCTCTACGTTATCGTTCAGTTGATTTGCCATGACCATTAGTGGTATTGACATGGGAGTACAAATACTAACATTAGCAAAAACGGTAATTTAAACTGCTATTACGATGAATGAAGTACGCGCATTTATTTTGTGGTGCTAACCATATATAGGCAATTCTTCTGCTGATGCTCTGTAGATAGCTATTCCACATTTATCCATCACAAAAATCTTTGGCGTTTTTCATTAAGTGGACTGTCACCATAATTATCATTGCAGTTGTATATAAAATATTAACTTGCCTTAAATCTTTCCTAAGTGATATTTTGATTATAATTATATTCAGTTTTCGATACGATAGATAAAAAGATCACGATATGCAAGAAATAAGCAATAATAATTATTTTGGTCTAAAGTCCATGTAAAAGTGAAATCAATTCTTAAAGTACTTAATCTGGGGTCTTGTGGTTTATGAGATAATCGCATTTTGATAAAACAATTACAGACTATTATAGGCATAGTATATGAAATTCTTTAGATTGAGTAATCTCTGACACTGTGATGTAGATATGTTATTATTAAACATAAATACGCCTAATATAACGTTGATCTAACATTTTATGCACACAGTACCGACATTGAGGTTTAAAATTTGAATAGTACGGTGGTTATTTCTTGGCTCTGTTTTGCTATTTGATACATGTATATAATAAATTTTATTGAGAATAGCTGAATGTCTTTTTGCTAGTAATGAACCTACAGACAATACATGGTTTTACACTTCTCGCCATATGATAGAACTAGGTATATTTGCTCATTTAACTATTGAATAGACTATGCTCGGAACCTTATTATATTATATTATGCCGTAACATTTATTTATTTATTTACTTAATTCAGTCTACTTATACCTATAATAATGATCCACATTATAAACACTTTTGTCTCTTTGGTCACGGCACCGATGACGGCAATCTTCCACAGTAGCACCAATACACTCCCTTCGGCCATGCTTTATGAAGGATAGGATGGCAAGCATGGACCCGGGCCACAAAACGCCTTGAAACTCCCGTTATTTTTTGTCATTTATATCTCTGCATGCTTTGCGTCTCATAAGTACTAAGTCATGCCTTCAAAATGAAATATAGCTTACAAACTTGTTAATAGAAATATGTCTCACTTAAGATGTAAGTCTACGTACTAAGTGTTATGTTAATTAAGTATAGTGTAATTTGTGTGACGGTGGTAAAATTAATTATACTTTCATCAGGTGGTGATCTGCGGTGCGGTACCATCGATGGTCCGGTCAGTTCGCCTCTACAGCCAGTGCTCCCACCTTTACGTCAACGTGTTCCCAAACGGCACCGTCATGGCTCGCTCCGGAGGAAACGACCAGCGTAAGTTACACTCATTTTTTTATTAAGAATAAATGAAATTTATTCAGCATTACTTTGTAGAGTTTACAAGTAATATTTTTACTATATATATTTAATTTTTAAGTTAAAACCTCCCCTGGTAACATCGAAACTTCCACTCGGCATATATTACTGTAGCATATAGCAATAAATGATACAATGGCAGGACAGACCTGTTAGTTCAGGTCCTATTAGTTATTATTGCGATTTTCTCTTTATACTTATTACTTTCTTATACAACTATAATCTTAATTAGTGTTCCAATGATGCATGTATCTTAACATGTTTACCCAAGGAGTCTAAATATTAAATTTAAATTATCAATTTGTATGATCAGTTTAAATTTTCTTTCAGATTACAATGATCGTTAGGGAAAGTTGTGTGAATACCATTACTAGGACATATCTATTAAAATTGTATAACGAAAATATTTGGTTTTTTTTTAAACGGCATCCATCTGTTTAATCTGTCATCACTATTGCCTAAGTCAAGTTCAAGAGTCACGTACTTATCAAGTCAATAAAATTACATGTTCAAATAGTGAGATGAATTAGCTTAATGGTGTACTTACATATATTTTATTAGTAAATAATAAATAGTTCTTTATATTTTTTAATTTAAATAGACTGCAGTAAGATTAAGTTGTGAAAATGCTTGTCTTAATTATATTCTCAATTCTAATCATAATTCTAATATTTGTTAGACAGGTACCAGTCATTTGTATTTGTACCAGTAGGAAAATTTATCAGAATGTTAGATTTTGTTCCATAATACGTACCAGACATTCTGTAATCGTGTTGGTAAGCTAGACGTGAGAAACTATATGAATATGTCAATACTTGAAGGGTCAACGGCCAGTCACCGTTGCAGGTACTACGTGATATAGTAAGGGAACTTGGACAAATGCAAAAGGTTATATTAGGAAGCGAATAGTAATAAATATAAATATCTCCTATTCTCCATTCCCATGTTATTAATTCTATATAATATCTATCTTTATAATTGTACCCAATCAAGCCTATATTTTGTATAAAATACTAACAATATTGTTAATTATTCAACTATAATTATTATTTGCACATTTTTTAATTAATTATTTTCGAATTATAGAATTTATGCTTTTGAAGCAGTTCATGTTATGTGTTTGTCTGTAGACTTTAGATTAAAGGACTTTGAACCATGCAGTGCGACAATTTCTTTTCCTTTTTAGTTTCCACAGCACAAAGCAATTTTAAAAAGAAAAGGAAGGGAAGCACGGTGATAAATTCTTCTACTTTTCTTTTTTTGTAACAAGACTTTGCAATTAAGATATTGAGTCAATATTTCAGAACTATTTTCAACGCCATTTTTACCGTCGGCGAAAGCATTCATGTTGGCGAATATGTAATATTGCACTGACTGTCAAATTACTTAATATTTGCTTTAAAAGCACGCAACTTTTAGCACTGTGACTTGTTTAAATAAAATGTACTTTCACATTTCTTTTTTATACCGTTGGCGCGTCTTGTCGTTTATTCAAGAATTATCGCAAGTTCTTTACGAGTACAAAGACCAACTATATCGGTACACTTTTTTCCCTCGCGAAGTGGTAAGTGCTTTACTCCTTTGTCTTTTGTAATATGCACAACGTTATCGAAAATCACTGAGAGGAATTTGATGACGATCGTTAAACATGCAGGTTCATTGAATGTAGTTTGTATTTCACAAACGACATATTTCTTTCTTCGAATCTTTTTAACGTAATTACCACTTTATATTTTGGAGCATAAATATATTTATTTGACGTTAATGATTCAATATACTTGGCTATTGCATACGCGCAAAACGCATCGTCTTTCGAAGTTCATATTACACTAGACACGTACGACTAGTGACCTAATAATGTATGACAGTCGCGTATCAGCATTTGGACACGTAATTAATTATAAAGATACTATGATTTACATTCATCTTATTGCGTCAACTTGTCTCTATTTCAATTAATTAGATTTAAAATCATAATTAGATTAGTATTAAATTGTATTTTTATTAGGCCTCGTATTGATTGGTTTATACAATACCCGTTATCAAATATCAGATTTAATACAAAGAAGTCACTTTCTACAAATAAATTAACATCCAACGGGAAACCATTAATCGAATAAGAACAATAATCGCGTGAGAATAAACATTTATTTGTGGCGAGAAAAAAAGAATTAATCACTTGACCCGTGTTAGTACGTGTTAGTTGTGAAGCAATAAAAGAAACTAACTACACAGCCAATATTAAATTTAACGATTTAATATTGCATCTCCATTTTCATGTGATCCCTAATCGTTAGTTGTTTTAAAACGGACCAGCCAACAAAGTGCAGTTCACTTTGAGCTGGACAGTTAACATCTCATCGGACGGGTCGAACCGCCTACCACCGAATAACACGTGAAATATGTGACGCTTTTTAATTAAAATTAGATTTAAGTTGTTGATAACGAAATTTAATTATTTACAGCAACTTAGAAAAGTAACTGGCCGAATGTAACGGAATCATAATTCCGATTGCAACTTAGTTTGAAAAATAATATATGCGGTATATAAATATATAAGCTATTATTATTATCATCCTAAGTAAGCCTATACATATTTTAAGATTTTTTTATATTATGTTAATAATTTTCATTATTAATGGTTGTCATATAATTTTATATAAATACGGTAAACCACTCTAAATCTGTAGTCTTCGTAACACTTCTTCAGTGGTTTATTTTTTGTGGCATTTCATCGGAACATCGTTTGGCGGTACGAAAATTATATGAAATCAAACAACGTAGGCGGTACGGCGCCTTCCCAAATCAAGTTGTTATAACATAAAATATAATAATGAATCCCCATAAGGCCCTCTGTTTTGCAAAAAATGGTATACCACACGCATGCACCCTCATTAATTTCCTATAATCTAATATAAAAGAAACAACGTAATTTGCGCACAAAATAACCGATTTCATATAATGACTTCGTTTTGATAGAACGTTTTATAAATTCTCGGAACGGTAGAGACTGTCAATAGGTTGGAAAAAATATTTCCTTTCGAGTTGTATTTGTTTAGAATTTTTTGTTATATAAAAAATCAAATCGTGGGCTAAGAGAGATGGAGTACTGTTTTTGTAATCGTATTCAATATAATGCCCAGTTGGCAGTTATTGTATGACTAGTTGTTTTGTGACAATTCCGTTTGCATAATTAGTGGATAAGTGGCGTGACTTGTGGTTTGAAATTACTCTTGTTTTTCAACTAGAATTAACGAGCGGTTTTTGTTTTAGAATTGAAGATATTATCATAACACCTTGGTATTCGAAATGAAGTACATTTTCCGTGTGTAAATTTTTTATTTGTATATATTATTTTAGTTTTCTTTTTTTACAAAAGCGAACAATTTAAACTTATCTTAAATTGTATCTAAAGTTATTATTATCTGTATTATTAAAAAATAAAATGTCAGAACACTATTTTAAGAATTAACTGTGACAAAAATATAATTTAATTTTAGTTGTCACATTATTAAAAATAATGCAAGAAATATCTGCATTAAACCGTGACGATATAAATACTAATATAATTATTATTCTGGTAGTATTAAATAAAATTTACAACTCTGCGCATTTCAATGAGTTTGGTTTTATTCCGATAACTTTATGATTGCACAGTCATAATAAAAGTGGGTGTTTCTGAATGACTGGTATTTAATACGCTTGATATTAAAATATTTCTCCCCATTACGTACATAATATTCATTAATTATTAACATTATTAGTTCGTAACGATAGACAACACTGTTTGAAATGTAAAAAAAATGTTACATAATTATAAACTTAAAAAAAATTGTATTTCACAATTTTACTGGTTTTTGTTGCGTTACTAATCCTCATTTTCGAAAGTACGGAACAACCTCTTTATTAAAATTTATATTGAATTATGTATAAGTCAAAATTATTAATTTTTATCAATAATACGAGTATTTCAATATATAAATATTTTTGTGTACATACAATATTTCTTTTAATTCTAATAGCATTATGGACATAAATACTAATGCATTAAGTTCCTTAAAATAAAAAAAAATGTACTACTGTGTAAGAACATTTATATAGAAACGATTTTGTTACAGTTCTATTATATGTGTAGGTACATGATTATGATACAATCGTTTAGTGTCATTATCATCGTTAGGTCAATGCTCAATTATTTAACCGTGACATGTTTTAATTAATAAAATTCGCAAACGAAAACAAACAAACATGGACTATAAATTTCATAGTGTTATCTCCTATTTTATAGTCATCATAAGTACATATGTTTGCAGCAACTAGTTGGGTGGTCCGAGGTGTGTGGATATCGCGAATAAAAATATAATGTAACGTATGTAAACATTTACTTATTAACAATGCAGCGTTTCGGTCAAAACTTTTCCTTTTATACTCATTTCTTGGTAGTATACGATATAAATACTACAATATAAAAGCCATAATACCAAAAAGCAAAAAGGTATATATATGCTTCAATTGCAGACAGAAGTAGATATACAAATTTTTGAAAAGTCTATACATGATATTAAATATATAACAAGTATATGTTTATAGCATTTTAATTCAGTACGCTCATATGCTGCTGCGTTAGATGGAAATATATATATACCCACAGAGTGATATGTAGTCATGTCAAGTGTTGAATTTTTATGTCGACTATAGACAATACCTCCAACTACCCCATCTAGTATAACGGTCGTGCAAGTATACAGTTAGTTATAAAATTTATATTTAGGTTCTTCAGACTAGATACTTCATTTAATGTATATCATTGGTTTCAGTCTTTAACACAAACTCTTCGTGATACATTTTCATAAACTATTTCATGAATACAGACTACTGCCAGAGACTTCATTTCTACATCAGATTATTATATATCAGTCTTGGTACTTTCATGTCTGCTAACAATTTTCATCGAAAAT